GGACATAAGGGAAGCCTTGTTGGATAAGGCCAGTGGCCCCTCCAGTCCAACACTTTGTGTCACATGGTGGCCAAAACCCAGGGGCCATCGGGAGGTCCACCAGTGGGGCCAGAACTCCAGAAGCCCTCCCACTCTTGCCCCCCCCCAAGCACCAAGAAGACAAAGCATCACAGCCCCAGACATAAGAACATAAGAGAAGCCATGTTGGATCAGGCCAGTGGCCCCTCCAATCCAACACACAGTGGCCAGAAATACCAGGTGCCCTCAGGAGGTCCACCAGTGGGTCTGCCGGAGTCCACCTTACCTTCCACAGAAGATGGCATGTTCGTCCCGAATTCTCTGAATGGTGAACTTCCCGCCATACGTCTACCTGGCCCAACGGAGCTGTGGACGACAGAGGCGAACCAGGCAATTATTTATTTATTTAGGTACTTAAATTATCTATACCCTGCCTTTTTTTCCAGCGGGGACCCAAAGCGGCTTACGTCACTCTCCTCGCCTCCCTTTTCTCCTCACAACAACCCTGTGAGGTAGGTCAGGTTGAGAGAGGTTGAGACTGGCCGGTCAGAGTGCGGTGTTTGGCTGTGAAGATATTTTGTATGTTTCATTTCTGTGGTTCAATGCAGGGTTTCTATACACGGTGTTGGCATGATGTAAAAGTAAGAAAGAGGGGGACCAGACGGGTGATGGAAGGGTGTTTTGGCAGCTGTACCCAAGGAGGCAGAGCATTTGTTCAGTGTGTGTGAGGGAGGGGAAAAAAGGCCGAGAAGGGAGAAGGTGGAGAACGAGGTGCTGCAGAAGAAATCTGCGCTCTTTGTGGGAGTTATTCGCCCCCGCTGCACGAGTGGAAATTATGCCTTGCGGAAGTTATTAGCAGAAGTGGCCAGTGAGAAAATGAACTTTGTGGCTAGGTCTGTTTGAGGAACTTCAGAGAAAGGAGAACTGTATCTATCTGAAACCATTACGCTTATGAAATTTGCTGAAACTGTTCCGCCAGGGGTCCCCAACACAGTGCCCATGGGCACCAGGATGCCTGAGAGCTGCTTTTCTGGCGCCCGCCAAGTATTTCTAGAAAGTAAGTGTGGCTGGGTGGGGCTTCTGCCCAGCAGGGCTCTTGATTGGCCACCGGAGCTCTGATTGGCGGGGCAGATTAAAATCATGCTGTTTCAGTGGCAGCTACCAACACAGCTTAATTCTCTCTCTCCTCTTTCCCAGTGTGCTTTTTAAAAATTATCCCTATTCCCCCCTGCTTTTGGGCTTCCTCTGCGTGTTTCTGCCTCTTTCGGCACTGTGCCCACCACCTCGTAATAGAATCCTAACCTAAAGATTCCCACAAGCTGAAAAAAGGTTGGGGGCCCCTGCTGCTACACTGTTATGTATTTATTTATTTATTTTATTAATTCAATTTTTATCCGACCGTCCCCGCCGAAGGCAGGCTCAGGGCGGCTTCCAGTAAAAAGTTAAAAATATATTAAAACACACGTGGGGACGTGGTCACAAGGAGATTTTGCCACACAAAAGGCACAAATGTTGGGCGAGTTTTCAGGGCGCGATCACACCGCAACATCTGGGAAGCGTAGCGCACCCGTGGCATCCCGCCGAAGATGCGGAGCTAGAAAGTACCAAGGAAAGTGCACGAGTATCCGGAAAACGCACGGCACAGGCAGGTGTCTGATCGCAGGAGCACTAGTATCCCGTGGCATCCGGCGCCCGTCCGCATCCCATCGCAAACCGGATGTTTTTCGTAAGCACATGCACACAAACACGAAACTGAAAGTAGTGCTGCTCTGTGGAACTGCACATGCGCGCAAGGGCGAAACGCTTGTGTGATTGCGCTTCTTTCCCATGTTGCAGCATCGCCGTGTGATCGCCAGCTAACAGCCTAAGTATGGAGACTTGGGGGACCGTGTGATCGGGCTACCACGCTTTATTTTGCTCCGGGGTGAACAGGCCCCCCCCCGTGTTACCCGGCCCGTATAACCGGGGCCGTGCTTATACAATACAGCATCATAAATACAAAACATACCAATTCGTAATACAAAATAACCGGGGCCATGCTTATACAATACAGCATCATAAATACAAAACATACCAATTCGTAATACAAAATAAAATAAAGTGCTGGTGACGATGGCGTCCCGAAGGCCATCATGGAATATACCCGAAAATGGCCACCGTCAGCATCCGGCATAGCTGGCTATAAATGTCAGTAGATGGGCCTTAACCATTCAGTTAGCATTGTTGGTGTTGTTGCTCTCCATCTACAGGCCTCTTCTTTCTCGAATAGTCTCGAGTTGTAGCAATTTTGTAACTACTAAATACAGTTTATATTTAAACATTCAATATTTTATCACCCTGGTCACACGGGCCGGATAACGCGGGGGGAGGCGTGGCTGTTAGCCCAGGAGCAAAATAAAGTGCGGTAGCCCAATCACACGGTCCCCCCGAGGTTTCGCACTTACGCTGTTAGCTGGCAATCACACGGGATGCTGGAGCGTGGCAAAGAAGCGGCACGGCAAGCGTTTCGCGTTTGTGCGCATGTGCAGTTCCGCGGAGCAGCACTGCTTACAGTTACGTGTTTGTGCGCATGCGCTTATGAAAAAAATCCGCTTTGTGGCGGGATGTGGACGGGCGCCGGATGCCACGGGATACTAGCGCGCCTGCGTTCAGACACCCGCCCCTGCCCCGCATTTTCCGGATACTAGTGCACTTTCCGCGGTACTTTGTTACTGCGCATCTTCGGCGGGATGCCAGGGGTTCGCCACGGATGCGCTACGCTTCCCAGATGTTGCAGCGTTGGCAGGAGGGGTCATTTCCTGCAGGAGTGCACAGGAGCGTAGCTCCAGCAGTAAAAAGCCCAGGGGGCGGGCACATGCAACAAGCCCCACCCCCTGCTCCCAGCAGCCCTCAGTCAGAGCAAGAAGCAGCCAGGTAAGTTGCAGAGCCCCCCCCCCCGGGCCCCGGTCCAAAACAGTCCAGTGGCACCTTTACTTGTGCATCGGCTAGGGAATGAGGGGGGGGGGTCCGGTTCCTCCGGGGACACACTCACCGGCCTCGGGGGTTCTGAAGGTTTGGGGAGAGCTCCATTCACTCCAGAAGCCTTGTCCGTCTTCCAAGACGCAACGGGCCTCCACCTCGTACCAAGTGAAGGGCTCCAGGTCTTCGAGCTCGTGGCCCTCTTGGGAGACGTGGTCCACCTCCAGCTGGGAATGAAACAGAAGTAGTTGTATGCGGCCTTGAGAACGACAGGAGCGCTCTGTCCATGAATCTTAGCTGCACAAATGTGTCTTTTGTAGGACCGGCCATAAGCATCAACACAACTACAAATGAAAGCTCCCCCCCCCTTTTTTGGAAGACTTTGTGCAAGTAGAAGCGGGCTTGTAGTTCTGGAAACTCCCACTGGGGCTTGAGTTTTAAATAAGTGATGCTAATAAGTTATGCTAATGAGCTCCTGCACCTCTTTTCCTACGAAATGACCCCTGACTGATGCTAAATTGACTGGCAGTTGTTAAACTGAATGTACTGAATGTACGTACCTGAGAAGGATGTTATAATAGCACACTATGCACTTTGTAGAATGATCGTTATAAACAGAACACGTCAATTTACAAAAGTTCCTTGCCGTGTATATTTAGTTGTTACTTGACCTACCTGGACGTGGGCAAACCTAATCCACCAGCTCGTCCAGAAAGCGCCCACTGGTGGAACGGAAAGAGAGACAGAGGATACCGACTCACCTGGGTCCACACGGCATCTTTGGAGGCCTTGTACCGAAGCTGACAGACCACGGAGTGATGCGTTAACTCTTCTGACCAGGACGGGTTCTTCCATCTCACCATAGCACCAGAGGAACTCACCGCCACAGGGTCCAGCTCAGGAGCAGGGGGTTTCCCTGAAGGAAGGAAAACGGGGAAGGGAAAAAAGAATCTTAGCCCCCGGAAACCCTAGGATGGATCCAGACGAAATCTTCCACTTCCACAGGACGCTTCCGTCAGTGCAACCGAATGTTCTGTTTCCCCCCATTCCTGTGGCACCGATCTCCCTGCAATGCTGTTCCTAGGGGACTAGGGGCCTTCGGTGCCAGCAGGAGAGGCAAATCACGGGTCAGCAGCAGGAAATGGGAATCGGTGGGAATGACCTCACGCCTTCCCATTAGCAGAACGTTTAATCTGGTGGGCCACCAGGAGGGCAAGAACTCAAGAAGCCCTCCCACTGTGGCTCCCCATGCACCAAGAAGACAGAGCATCACTGCCCCAGACATAAGAACATCAGAGAAGCCATGTTGGATCAGGCCAGTGGCCCCTCCAGTCCAACACTCTGTGTCACACAGTGGCCAAAACCCAGGAGCCATCAGGAGGTCCAGCAGTGGGGCCAGGACACCAGAAGCCCCTCCCACTGTTTCCCCCACTTCTCCAAGCACCAAGAATACAGAGCATCCCTTGCCCCAGACCGAGAGTTCCTATCTATACCTTGTGGCTCATAGCCACTGATGGACCTCTGCTCCAGATGTTTATCCAGTCCGCTCTTGAAGCTGTCTGTACTTGTAGCCGCCACCACTTCCTGCAGCCATATCCTGCACCTCCCGTCCACATTCTAGAGACCTTGTGGTCCACAGTTATGCACAGGCGGGCAACCACGCTGGGGACCATCCTTTGTGTCACTTCTCTGCAAGGCCGCTTGGAGACCCTCTTCCCAAGCCACACACCCCCACACCCCTATTCTCTAGCCCTCTAACCTATGTCGTCCAGGCTGAAGTTTAACTTTTCGGACGCTTCCACCCCAGGTGCATGGAGAACCTCCAGCCATGCGCTGTAGTCATCTCCCAGTGTCAGGTTGCTTCTGGCCACGGCTATCCAGTTCTGTCCCGGTCGCCCCGTTGCATTGCGGATCTCATCAGGGTGGCTGGCAAAGAAAGCAAAACGGGACAATAAATCAAAGCCGTCACCAATATCAGCCTATCAGAAGGCAAGCGTGCACCAAATGGTATTGTGACTGCTGTTGTTATTTGGTGTAGTTGTTAAGAGCGCGGACTCTAATCTGGGAGAACCAGGTTTGATTCCCCACTTCTCCACACGCAGCTGCTGGTGTGACTTTGGGTCAGTCAGAAGTTCTTTCAGAGCTGTTTTCCCAGGAGCAGTCCTCGAGAGAGCTCTCTCAGCCCCACCTCCCTCACAGGGTGTCTGTTGTGGGGAGGGGAAGGGAAAGGAGATTGTAAGCTGCTCAGAGACTCCTTCGGGTAGTGAAGGGCGGGGTATAAATCCAATCACTTCTACTACTACTACTACGTATTAATTTTATGGGGACCCCGACATCGTTCTCCTCCATTTTATCCTCACAGCAACCCTGTGAGGCAGGCCTTTAATCAGGATTTTGTGGCTTGTGGGGCAGTTCTTCTGTGGTGACGCGACAATATCAGGAAAAATCTACCTCTACGTCAAAGGAGGACTGTGTCAAGCGACTTTGAGCTGTATTTTTCAGAGGAACTTTGAGCACGGACGTTTTTGTTTACAAGGGCACTTTCAACATCTGTATATGTTGCCCTGGAACGTGTTTTGTAATTTGTACCAAAATATTAACACTTGATCGTTATTCAATAGATTGCATAATAATATCGCGGTCGTTTTTCGGTCTACTCATAACCAACGCTCCCTCTAAGCTGTGGTGGCTTGTGAGCAAAAACTCTACTTTGTGAGCTACTGGTATTAAAGTTGCGAGCGAGCGATTTGGTTACTGCATAGGTTACTTTGCTCTGGAGCCATCCTTCCTGAGCTAAGACAAAAATGTGTGAGCTGGAGGCTAAAAGACTGAGAGCTAGCTCACACTAACTCAGCTTAGAGGGAACACGGCTTACAACCTATCCCGTGATCTCACGTTTGTATAACCACCGGGAAGCCTGCACACCCGCTGGAGATCAACAGAACCGATCATAAAGTTAGTCTTGAGAAGTGCCAGCAGAGTACAGATCAGAGAAAAACACACACATCCCTGGAGAACTTCCAACAGAAGTTTGGGAAGTCCTGCGTCCTTCAAGTCAAACCCCCTATGTCGTCCAGGCTGAAGTTTAACTTTTCGGACGCTTCCACCCCAGGTGCATGGAGAACTTCCAGCCACACGCTGTAGTCGTCTCCCATTGTCAGGTGGCGTCTGGCCACGGCTAGCCAGTTCTGTCCCGGTCGCCCCGTTGCACTGCGGATCTCACCAGGGTGGCTGGCAAAGAAAGCAAAACAAGACAATAAATCAAAGCCGTCACCAATATCAGCGTGCACCAAATGGTATTATTGTTACTGCTGTTGTTATTTGGTGTCATTGTTAAGAGCGCGGACTCTAATCTGGGAGAACCGGGTTTGATTCCCCACTCCTCCACATGCAGCTGCTGGTGTGACCCTGGGTCAGTCACAAGTTCTTTCAGAGCTGTTTTCTCAGGAGCACTCCTCGAGAGAGCTCTCTCAGCCCCACCTCCCTCACAGGGTATCTGTTGTGGGGAGAGGAAGGGAAAGGAGATTGTAAGCTGCTCCGAGACTCCTTCGGGTAGTGAAGGGTGGGATATAAATCCAGTCACTTCTACTACTACTACTCCTACTACGTATTAATTTTATGGGGACCCCGACATCGTTCTCCTCCATTTTATCCTCACAGCAACCCTGTGAGGCAGGCCTTTAATCAGGATTTTGTGGCTTGTGGGGCAGTTCTTCTGTGGTGACGCGACAATATCAGGAAAAATCTACCTCTACGTCAAAGGAGGACTGTGTCAAGCGACTTTGAGCTGTATTTTTCAGAGGAACTTTGAGCACGGACAGTTTTGTTTACAAGGGCACTTTCAACATCTGTATATGTTGCCCTGGAACATGTTTTGTAATTTGTACCAAAATATCAACGCTTGATCATTATTCAATAGATTGCATGATAATATCGCGGTCGTTTTTCGGTCTACTCACAACCAACGCTCCCTCTAAGCTGTGGAGTCTTGTGAGCAAAAACTCTACTTTGTGAGCTACTGGCATTAAAGTTGCGAGCGAGCGATTTGGTTACTGCATAGGTTACTTTGCTCTGGAGCCCTCCTTCCTGAACTAAGACAAAAACGTGTGAGCTGGAGGCTAAAAGACTGAGAGCTAGCTCACACTAACTCAGCTTAGAGGGAACACGGCTTACAACCTATCCCGTGATCTCACGTTTGTATAACCACCGGGAAGCCTGCACACCCGCTGGAGATCAACAGAACCGATCATAAAGTTAGTCTTGAGAAGTGCCAGCAGAGTACAGATCAGAGAACAACACACACATCCCTGGAGAACTTCCAACAGAAGTTTGGGAAGTCCTGCGTCCTTCAAGTCAAACCCCTGCCAGACGCTGAGCCTCCTCGCCAATGCTTTACTTACAGTCTAAGGCTCCGGTAGACGAGGACGTAGGTGGCGTTGACATCGGGCGCAGACCAGCTGCAGTTCATCACCCAGCTGGGTAACAGACACAAGCACCGCAAGCCCACGGAGACCACTGGATCTCCTGCAAAAGAGAAGAAGAGGAGAAGAAGAAGACATTGGATGTCTACCCTGCCCTTCACTACACAAAGGACTCTCAGAGTGGCTTCCAAACTTATAAGAACATAAGAGATGCCAATGCTGGATCAGGCCAAAGGCCCATCCAGTCTAACACTCCGTGTCACACAGTGGCCAACAATACCAGGTGCCATCAGGAGGTCCACCAGTGGGGCCAGGACACTAGAAGCCCTCCCACTGTTGCTCCCCCCAAGCACCAAGAAGACAGGGCATCCCGTGCCCCAAAGTCCCTATCTATACCTTGTGGCTATACCCCGCCCTTCACTACCCAAAGGAGTCTCAGAGTGGCCTACAAACTCCTTTCCCTCCCCCTCCCCACAACAGACACCCTGTGAGGTAGGCGGGGCTGAGAGAGCTCTGACAGAAACTGGTCTTTTTCAAGGTCATCCAGCCAGGTGCAAGTGGAGGAGGAGTGGGGAATCAAACCCGGTGCTCCCAGATTAGAGTCCACACACTTAACCACTACCACAAACTGGCTCTCAGAGAGACGTCTCCAAACGGACTTCCAAACCAGTGCGAATACAGCTGTTAGGTCGTGAAAATTCAGGGGAAGAAAATGTTTCGGTCATGAGACAAAAACTAAAAAAGAGAACAAAAAACCCACACGCAGCTCTGTTGTTGCGGCAACTGGGTGGATGTCGCCTGGGCATTAGAAGTCGTGGCTGACTTGTGGAGAACCCCTAGTGGGTTTTTCAAGGCAGAAGACCTCACATTTGTATAACCACCTGGAAGTTGGCAAATCTGCTTCAAAGAAGAAGAATTGCTGAGCAGTCGGATTAGAACAGATAAAAGGAAGTCCTTCTTCACCCAAAGAGTGATTAACACATGGGATTCACTGCCACAGGAGGTGGCGGCGGCTACGAGCATGGACGGCTTCAAGATGGAATTTGATAAACGTATGGAGCAGAGGTCCCTCAGTGGCTATTAGCCACAAGGCAGAAATAGGACCTCTCGGTCTGGGGCAAGGGATGCTCTGTGTTCTTGGTGCTTGGGGGGGGGGGGCAACAGTGGGAGGGCTTCTAGTGTCCTGGCCCCACTGCTGGACCTCCTGATGGCACCTGGAGTATTCTCTCTGTCAAGGTGAGAAGAAAATGGTAGGCAGGTAATTTATATCTACTCAGGAAGGTGGGATAGGGTTGAGTTCCCCAGGCTCCTACAAGATAATGACTCCTACAAGATAATGTAGGAATCTACTCAGGAAGGTGGGGTAGGGTTGAGTTCCCCAGGCTCCTACAAGATAATGACTCAACTCCTACAAGATAATGTAGGAATCTACTCAGGAAGGTGGGGTAGGGCTGAGTCATTATCTTGTCGAAGTTCCCTGGGCTCCTACATGATAATGACTCAACTCCTACAAGAGAATGACTCAGCCCTACCCCACCTTCCTGAGTAGATATAAATTACCTGCCTACCATTTTCTTCTCACCTTGACAGAGAGAGTACTACATCTTTCTGTGTTACACCCCTGAGGATGCGAGTCACAGCTACTGGCGAAACGTCAGGTCCTACAATGCCAAGACCACAGCCACACAACCTGGAAAATCTGCAACAGCTAATGAGCTCCGGCCGTGAATGCCTTCGACAACATATTTCTCATTTTGTTTTTCCAGACTTTGAGCTGATTTAATCACTACAGTTTGGACCAGAAAATATGTAAAGTATACCCACACCTTTATGAAAGGACAATTAGGGTTATATAAGCATATGTTTGATAATGGTTATAAATGCCCATGTTTAGCTATGTTAACTGACAGTTTACTGTGCCTTACTGTTTTGTCCCTTTCAACCTAGCAGTTCGAAAGCAAGAAATTGCAAGTAGATAAATAGGTACCACTTCGGTGGGAAGGGAACAGCGTTCCGTGTGCCTCAGTGTTTAGTCATGCTGGCCACATGACCACGGAAACGTCTTCGGACAGTGCTGGCTCTTCGGCTTGGAAACGGAGATGAGCGCCGCAACCCTAGAGTCGGACTCGACTGGCTTTCGAGCAAGGGAAACCTTTACCTTTTTACTGTTCTGTTTGTATTAGTAATTGCTAACTGTTAACTGTTTCTGTGACATTTCCAATACAAACTTTATTATGTTCTTTTTTTAATAATTGTCATAAGCTGCTCTGAGAAAAAGCAGGGGGAACAAATCCTAAACAAGGCTCCGGACTCAGGTCTTCCCCTTTCCTGTTGTCCTCTTTGCCTTTTCAGACCCGGCTGCCGCAGCCAACGAATCAGACATAGCAGCAGCCACACTCTGTTCTCTCTCTCTTCTTCCGGCCTCTGGGCCCCACAGCACTTCCTGCCCACCCCCCAGCCCATTGCTGATCGCAGCAAGAGCTAGACAAAGCTCGACACATTCATTTATTCCTAAGCCTGGTATACCACAAACAGCAGAACCACAGTTATGTAATGAGAGTAAGAACACCAGAAGAGCCCTGCTGGATCAGACCAGGGAGGGTCATAAGAACATAAGAACATCAGAGATGCCAATGTTGGATCAGGCCAAAGGCCCATTCAGTCTAACACTCTGGGTCACACAGGGGCCAAAAATACCAGTGCCATCAGGAGGTCCACCAGTGGGGCCAGGACACTAGAAGCCATCCCACTGTTGACCCCCCCCCCAAGCACCAAGAAGACCGAGCATCACTTGCCCCAGAGTTCCTCTCTATACCTTGTGGCTAATAGCCACTGATGGACCTCTGCTCCATATGCTTATCTAATTCCCTTTTGAAGCCGTCCATGCTTGTAGCCGCCACCACTTCCTGTGGCAGTGAATTCCAAGTGTTAATCACTCTTTGGGTGAAGAAGTACTTCCTTTTATCCGTTCTAACCCGACCGCTAACCATCTAGTGCAGCCTCCTGTCTCACACGGGGGCCAGCCAGTCCCTCTGGAGGGCCAAGAACAGGGTAGAGAGGCCGAGGCCTTCCCCTGATATAAGGACACCAGAAGAGCCCTGCTGGGTCAGACCAGGAAGGGTCCCTCTAGTCCAGCCTCCCGTCTCACACCAGGGAGGGTTCCTCTGGCTGGCCCCTGTGTGAGATGGGAGGCTGGACTAGAGGGACCCTCCCTGGTCTGACCCAGCAGGGCTCTTCTGGTGCCCTTATCAGGGGAAGGCCTCGGCCTCTCTGCCCTGTTGCTGGCCCTCCAGAGGGACTGGCTGGCCCCTGTGTGAGACGGGAGGCTGGACTGGATGGACCCTCCCTGGCCTGACCCAGCAGGGCTCTTCTGATGTTCTCATGTCTATACTGCTGTGTATAGCTTAATGTAAGTAGGATCCTACGGATGTAATTCCACTTAACGTGTCATGTGAATACTTATGCTATACTTCGGTTCCTTCTGGTGGTAATCCAGACTTCTACAATCCTGGTGCTCTGGTTATTGAATGTCCCATCCTTTTGATATTCCTGACTCACTCTGTGTAATCTACCTTGAGTGAGAAAAGCAGAATGTGAACCACACAAATAGATAAATAAATAAATCCCTGTGCTTGCAATAGTAAAGGTTTCCCCTGCTCGAAAGCCAGTCGCATCCGACTCTAGGGGGCGGTGCTCATCTCCATTTCCAAGCCGAAGAGCCAGCGCTGTCCAAAGACGTTTCCGTGGTCATGTGGCCAGCATGACTAAATATCGAGGCGCACGGAACACTGTTACCTTCCCACCGAAGCAGTACCGATTTATCTACTTGCAATTTCTTGCTTTCGAACCGCTAGGCTGGCAGGAGCTGGAGGTAGAGACGGGAGCGCAGTCCGTCATGCGGCACTCGGATCTCGAACTGCCGAACTACAGACCTTCTGGTCTGCAGCTCAGCCTCTTAACCTCTGAGCCACCACGGCCTCAGACAGACAGACGAAGGGGACGGCAATAAGACCCTTACCTTCTTTCAGCCCGAAGGCCTTTAATGCCAGAACTAGCAGCCAAATTGCCTTCCATCGGCGTTTCATGGTACCAGGCGCCTCTTGCATCAAGAATCAGTGGGGGGTGGACCCCGAATTCTCAGAGAGGATGTGTCCAAAAGAGCCTCCGTGCCCCCCTCCTGACACTGACTAATGAGGGCTAGACAACGGCATCCACGTTGGGGGCAGCCCGCTCTAAAACATTAAAAGTTTTTAAAGGATTAATTGTGACCTTTGAGCAATGGATGGAGATCGATTTAGGTGGAGAGCAGTTTCCCTCTAAGCTGAGTTGGTGTGAGATATCTCACAGTTTTTTAGCCTCCAGCTCACACATTTTTGACTTAGCTCAGGAAGGAGGGCTCCAGAGCAAACTAATTTATGCGGTAGCCAAAATCGCTCGCTCACAACTTTAATGCCAGGAGCTCACAAAGTAGATTTTTTGCTCACAAGACTCCACAGCTTAGAGGGAGCATTGGTGGGGCCAGGGCTCTTTTTGTAGAAAAAGCCCAGCAGGAACTCATTAGCATAATAGGCCACACCCCCATGTTACCAGAAGTGTGCTCATCCAGCCACACCCACCTTTTGCTTCTTATTCTGTTTACCTTGTTTGTTGTCAAAACCCAGGGCTTTTTTGTAGCAGGAACTCCTTTGCATGTTAGGCCACACCCCTAATGTAGCCAATCCTAATGAGTTTCTGCTGTTGGGTGTGGCCTGTTATGCTAATGAGTTCCTGCTGGGCGTGGCCAACTTGGGAGCCAGACGGAACTCTGTTCCTGTGCGTTCCTGCCCAAAAATAGCCCTGGGTGGGGCAGTCGTGTTGGACTGAAGCAAGAGAACTAAGTCTGAGTCCAGGGGCACCTTTAAGACCCACAAAGTTTAATTCTGGGTCTAAGCTTTCGTGTGCAGGCACAAAGTGAACGTCCCATTCTGCTGACTGTCCCAGCCGATGCTCCCTCTAAGCTGTGGAGTCGTGTGAGCGAAAATACTACTTGGTGAGCTGCTGGCATTAAAGTGGTGAGCGAGCGATTTGGCTGCTGTACAAATCAGCTTGCTCTGGAGCCCTCCTTCCTGAGCGAAGACAAAAATGTGTGAGCCGGAGGCTAAAAAACTGGGAGCTAGCTCACACTAACTCAGCTTAGAGGGAACACTGGTCCCAGCTTATACCCAGAATCGAACTTCACAACAGAACAAAGTTTGAGTCCAACGAAGTTTAATTCTGGGTCTAAGCTTTCATGTGCAGGCACAAAGTGAACGTCCCATTCTGTTGATTGTCCCAGCTTATACCCGTAATTAAGCTTCACAGCCGAACAAAGTTTGAATCCACTGGCACCGTGAAGACCAACAAAGTTTAATTCTGGGTAGAAGCTTTTGTGTGCGTGCACAAAGTGAACTTCCCATTCTGTTGGTCGTTCCAGCTTATACCCAGAATGAAACTTCACAGCCGAACAAAGTTTGAGTCCAGTGGCACCTTGAGGACCAACAAAGTTTAATTCTAGGTCTAAGCTTTTGTGTGCAGGCACAAAGTGAACGTCCCATTCTGTTGATTATTCCAGCATATACCCGTAATTAAACTTCACAGCCGAACAAAGTTTGAGTCCAGTGGCACCTTGAGGACCAACAAAGTTTAATTCTGGGTATAAGCTTTCGTGTGCAGGCACAAAGAAGAAGAAGAGGAAGAGATTGGATTTATACCCTGCCCTTCACTCGGAGTCTCAGAGCGGCTGACAAACTCCTCTCCCTTCCCCTCCCCACAACAGGCACCCCGTGAGGCAGATGGGGCTGAGAGAGCTCTGACAGAAACTGCTCCTGAGAGATCAGCTCTGACAGAACTACGGCTTGCCCAAGGTCATCCAGCAGGTGCAAGTGGAGGAGTGGGGAATCAAACCCGGTTCTCCCAGATTAAAGTCCGCACACTTAACCACTACACCAAACTGGCTACACCAAAGTGAACGTCCCATTCTGTTGGCTGTCCCAGCTTATACCCAGAATGAAACTTTGTTGGTCTTCAAGGTGCCACTGGATTCAAACTTTGTTCTCTAACATTTGAGCAACTATTTCTAACAAAGCGCTCCATGACAGCTCGCAGAATGAGGGAAAGGGAGGGGAGAGAAGAAGCCGTAGCCGCTTGTTCATCATGAGTAATCTCTCACGCACAGACTATTATGATCACCGCCCATCAATTGTCATAGCAATTGATATCTGTTTACTTCCATCCACTCCACCTCTCTCCCCAGGGGGGACTCTTGTAGCTGCTTACATCCTTTTCCCGGCCTCTTCAGCTGTTGCATAAGAGACCTAGAAAGTCCCCGATCAATGAAGCCACTCTCTAGTCCATACATCATGGGCTCGATTGACCCCTTAAACTCCTGTGTGCATCTATTTGGCAAGAAGGCTCAACGAACTCACTGGAATGCATCTCAGAGTAAATATGCGCCTATGATGTGGACTGCAGGTTAAATAAAGGCAGAAGGATCACAGAATCGTGGAGCCTGGCTACCGGGAGAATGGAAACGGCTTCCTCTACACTCCTGGATTCGAATCTCGCCATTTCTCCGTTTACACATGTATCTGCTCTTTTGAAATATTCCGTGCATTACAGCTGCTAAGTCCGAACCTCACCTCCCATTCCAACGTATTTGAAAAAGCGTGCCTGCACACAAAAGTTCATGCCTTGAATAAAACTTTGTTGGTCTTAAAGCTGCCCCTGGAAATTCTATAAAAGTATGCATTTTGTGGAGAGAGTCCACCATCCAAAGCAGCTGTTTTCTACAGGGGAACTAATCTCTGCAGTCTGGAGATGAGCTGGAATTCCGGGGGGTCCCCAGGCCCCACCTGGAGGCTGGCATCCCCGAACCTCAGTGGGGCACAAGGCCACAGAGTCCCCCCTCCAAAGCAGCTGGTTCCTCCGGGGGAACTGATCTCTGCAGTCTGGAGAGGAGCTGGAATTCCGGGGGGTCCCCAGGCCCCACCTGGAGGCTGGCATCCCTGGACCTCAGTGGGGCACAAGGCCACAGAGTCCCCCCTCCAAAGCAGCCATTTCCTCCAGGGGAGACTGATCTCTGCAGTCTGGAGAGGAGCTGGAATTCCGGGGGGTCCCCAGGCCCCACCTGGAGGCTGGCATCCCTGGACCTCAGTGGGGCACAAGGCCACAGAGTCCACCCCTCCAAAGCAGCCGTTTCCTCCAGGGGAAACCGGTCTCTATGATCTCCGTAGCCTGGAGATGAGCTGGAATTCCGGGGGATCCCCGTTCCCACCGGGAGGCTGGCATCCCTAGACAACTTTCACCATGGCAGAGCGGGGGGATTCGAACTCGCCTCTCCCAGCCATTAATCCGCCGCTCTAACCGCTCCCCCACGCTGCCTCCGCC